AGAGAGAGAGAGAGAGAGAGAGAGAGAGAGAGAGAGAGAGAGAGAGAAAGAGAATACAAATTAAGAAAAAAGTCATGAAATTTAGAGAGGCAGGTCATGGGAGAAATTAGAGGGAAGGGGAAGGGGAAGGGGTGGAAATGATGTAAATATAGTATACATATGCGAAATTCCCCTCCAAAAAATAGTATTAATAACTGAATTCTATTAAGATTATAGGTGTTTTCTTTTGCTTGTTAATGTCTCTGTCTTCCAAACAGTCTTTCCATTACCAAGATCACATCTATTTGTAGTCAAATAATTACAAAGCTTCTCATAGTGCTTATTCTATCCTTGACATTATCCTAAATTCTCTTTATCCTATTGAAATTATTGGAAGGTGGTTCAGGGTTTAAGAGTAAGGAGCCATCTCAAGTATCATGCCAAATACCATTGGATTCATGTTAGTTCTAAAATTTACAGTGGTAGTCATTATAAATAGGAAAAAGATTAAAGACACTTGCAGTGCATTTGGCATAATTCTAACACCTCTTTGGATATTTTAACTTTGCACAGCACATTTACAAATTTAAAGAATGCTGCTCTGCTGAGCATTGATGGGGTAGATACTGCTGATAAAATTACACATGGCCTGAGGTCATTGTTTCTATTTTGGTCAAGCTTCAAAAATGGCATATATAGCTTGATCATGCTAGCCCTTTTTCTCCTGGGAATACTTTTATTCCTGCTCATCATGTTAAAGCTTGACTTTAATAACATCAACATTTTGGCAGCCAAAGTACATGGCTTGAACCTGAAAATGGACTCCCAGACAGAGTTATTAAATTAACAGGCTGGCAAGCCAAGGAAGGGAAAGATTCTGTACAAAGGCTTATCAACCTAATATAAAAGTGTATTGTTTTCGATAATGCATATTCCATGACAGGTAAGGAAGGAATTCTTGGTAGCATGACCTAAGACAGGCTCAGTCTTGTTTATGAAATAAAAAAGGGGGAAAGATGGAGTCCTTTTGGGGCTGCTTGGCAAGAATCTGACATGGAACAAGGACAAGGAAATGGGCTACTGGCAGGAATATGACATTGGCCAAGGAAAAGGAAGTGGGCTTCAGGCAGGAAACTAACATTAGGCTAGAACAAAAAAGTAATTTCAGATATAAATCTAAATATTACGCTAGAACAAAGAAGTAATTTCAGACAGGAATCTACATTTTAGGCTATAACAAGTAGGCTTCAGATATGAAAATGACTTTGGGCTAGAACATAGAAGTTGGTTCAGATATTTTAGTCATCCTGATAAGCCCTTAGAAACAGTGATCATGGGAGTATTCATGGAATTTTGTTTATTGCATTGCTTGTTCTTGGACTATTTGTGTTTATTATCTTGCTTGTTCTTTGACTACTTATTTGCATCTATTGTATTCCTAGTTCCTCAAACTAGAACTGACCTTACTACTGGCATGTATTTAAAATAGTATAAAAGCAAAATGAGAGGGAGGGTGGGATATGGGTGTTCTAGGGAGATGAAATGGGGAAAGGGGATGACATATGAAATGTAAATAAATTAAATATCCAATAAAAAAAGAAAAAATTATTTTCTTCACAAAACTACTCTGCAAGATTCTGTGGTACTATGAGAGTTCCTATTTGATAGCTGAGGAATGGAAACAGTGAAATGAAGCAACTTGGAGATGTTATCAACTTTCCTTAACAAAGTACTTCCTCCTCACTCTAGACCAATGGTTCTCAACCTTTCTAATGCTGTGACCCTTTGATAAATTTCCTCATGTTATGGTGATCCACAATCATAATTATTTCATAACTAGTTCATAACTGTAATTCCCTACTGTTCTGATTCATAATGTAAGTATCTCATATATAGGATATCTAATATGTGACACCCATAGGTGTTGTGACCCACAAGTGGAAAACCCGTGTTCTAGACTTTGTACTCTTGTTCTATGTGCTGCTACTAACTTTATAACTCAAGAGATTATTTTTGTGTCGTTCCTTAATGTAATTCACCCAAAAAAATCAATGTACCAAAGACAATCAGATCTTTGGGGACAAGGACGCTCACAGCATCAAAATCTGTAGCCAGAGAAGTGTAATTGAAAATAACCTAAATGTCTTATAACGTGTCTACACACTGGAAATGATGAATTAGAAGAAATTTAAATGCCATGAGAAATCCCATAAATATCTAAAGGAAACAGAGGCTATAAGCCATGCAACTTTAAGAAACATATTATGTGTGATTAGAAAAGAAAAGAAACACAGTAGTCAATACTGGGTTTCCATTTGAATCTTGGCTTTCAAGTTTTAGTTTTGTGCCTTTAGGTAATAATTTAACCCTTCTTTACTCCAGTTTCCTTTTTGGGAAAGGGGATAATCCAAGTGTTAAAGATTTAACAGTTATATACATATATAATACTTAAAAGCATAGCTAGCAAGTACTTAGAAAAGATAAAGAAGACAAACTTAGTAAGTAAACTCACAACAACTAAAACAGGATAGTACACATTCTCCTGGCAGTTTGATAAGTGTCTTAGGAAATCTAGAATCTGTAATGTTAAAGTACTCCTACTTGGTTGCCCCTGAACCATACAAATGTGTATAGAGATGTTGATCCTTGCAATGCAGTGGCAGTCACAAGGCCCCTCTCTCTATTCTTGGCCATAGTCTCATCTGTCTCATATTTAATGTTCTAAGTGGTACTAAGGCATGATTCTTGTACGTGTTTTTATTTTAATGTTATAGCACTTTGTATTGGTATCTATTTATGAGATATACTATGATGTTTGGTAATTTATTTTTAAACTCAAACTTGAACCTAAAGTCCCACAGGTGCTGAATTGACTACTATTGTTGACTTATACACCTGATCCTGATGTGATATTGTGATTCATGTCTATATTAAGGAATGGTCAACTCATAGTAATTAGCACATCCACCATCTTAAACTTTTACTATTTCTTTCTGGCAAGTTGATCCAAAATCCTTTTTTTCTGGCTGTTTTGAGATATATGATACACTGTTGTTAATCATGTTCATCATACTGTGCTACCTAAAATTAGATGTAATTCCTCCAATAATAGCATTATATCTGTTTACCCACCTCTTCCAGTCTCTGGAAGTTTCTGTGAAATAAACTTTTTCTACTCTCAACTTCCATGAGATAAACACTTTTAGATTCCATGTGTGTAAGATGGTGTTTCACTTACGATAGTGTCCTCCAGTCCCAACCGCACAATTTCAGTATACATTCTTCTATTGGTAGACATTTGTTGCAACACTAGTTGCAGTAGCCTTCTAAAGCATAGAAAATAAAAGAATAGAAAATCCTTGACCATTACATGTATAGAATTAGGTTTTCCCGAAAGCCTTCATAGCTTTCTTTTTTCTGTCTCTCTCTCACCCCATCCCATTCTTCAGGTCTCTTACGTGAAAGCGATTGACATCTGGATGGCAGTGTGCCTTCTGTTTGTGTTTGCTGCCTTACTGGAATATGCAGCAGTGAACTTTGTCTCCAGGCAACATAAGGAGTTCCTACGTCTCCGGAGACGACAGAAGAGGCAGAATAAGGTAGAATTGTCTCTCAGTACAGTCACTGGAGCTTGGGGTGGTTAACCAAGCAGTATAACTCAAAAAAAAAAAAAACACATGAGCAGGAATATGAACTTAATTCTTGTCATAATTACTCCTCAAGCAAGTCATTTAAAATGTTGGGTAAGGTTTGAGTAGATAAAATTACAAAGCATGCAGTTAAACTCGAAATCCAGGAAAATACATTTAATATAAATAAATCCAAAATATTACATGGTATATATATGCTTAAATTATTTGTTGTTTATATGAAATTCAAATCTTACTGGGCTCTCTGATTTTTATCTGACAATTCTAATCAGTCATATAGATTCAAACTGACAGTCATTTTACAATCTTGGTTAAATAATGATAATCGTTATATGTGTAACTGTGTATGCATAACCAGTTTGATGTTCTCCATCAGTTAATCTGTATTTATATCAGTAGTTCTCAATCTTCTTAACTCTGTGACCCTTTAATACAGTTCCTCGTGTTGGGTTGACCCCCGCCCGTCATAAAATTATTTCATTGCTGCTGCATAACTGTAGTTTTGCTACTATTATAAACTGTAATGTAAATATCTGATATACAGAACATCTGATATGCAACCCCTGTGAAAGAGTCATCGTCACCCAAGGACTGAGAATCTCTGCTTTATGTGAACAATGAGCTACACGGGCACACTCCATGCTGGATTTCAGTTGGGTTAATTTCTTTGATCTCAGCTTTTGCACAGAAACCTTAATATTTACCTCATTGAGAGGTTTACATTTGAACTTTGTAGTTCAATATACCCAGTTTAGTAGGTCTCAGACTTGCCTGCACATTAGAATCACTTGAATACGCTTCAAAACTGCCAATCCTTGGCTACAATCCACCACCAATTACATTCCTATTTCAGGATGGGGCTCAGTATTTTCACAGCCCTCAAGCAATTCCAATGTGTGGACATATTTGGAAAGTAAGCTTTGGTTTATAATCCCAGCCCCATGAAGGATACCAGAAGCATTGTACCTGGTTTTCTGTCTCCGAAAGAATCATGGCTGCTGATATAGAAAGTGTTATCGTCTATAACAATACCACTATCAAAATTTAATGTAGACCACATGGACTGCTCTGCAAAATCTGCCCTCCAAGACCTCTTAAGTTAAACCTGCTGGTGAAAGTAAATCAAACAGTGACTCATGGTGTTATGCTGGAATTTAAAAATGTGCTTAAACCCTATTTCTTATAAATACCTAGATATAAACTTCAGACATTGTTAGATGCTGTTTACTTTGAGGAGTCTGTATGTGTATAAGTTTCTTGTATCCTGGCTGCATCCACCAAAGGTTTTTAAAAGCACTCCAAAAACATATATTGCTGGATCACCTGACTTGGCTACGTTTCAGAAAATTTTATCTATCCAGGCTAGGAACACACACACACCTTTTCTCATCCTTTTTTCTTTTTGCTTTGTTTTTTATTAATCATTTTTATTCATTTACATTTCAAATTATATCCCCTTTCCCAGTTACTCCTCCACCAAACCCCAAAACCATCCCCCCAAACCCCTCTACTTTGTCTCTATGAGAGTGCTCCTCCACCCATTCACCCACGCCCATGACTCACCCCTCTAGCATCCCCCTATGCTAGAGCATCAAGCCTCCCTCCCCTCCCCTCCCACTGATGTCAGACAAGGCCATCCTCTGCTACATGTGTATCTGGAGTCCTGGATCCCCCCATATATACTCTTTGGTTGGTGATGTAGTCCCTGGGAGCTCTGGGTGGTCCAGTTAGATAACATTGTTCTTCTTATGAGGTTGCAATCACCTTCAGTTCTTTCAGCCTTTCCCCTAGCTCTTCCATTGGGGTCTCCATGCCCAGTCTAATAGTTGGCTATATCTGAATCTGTATTGGTCAGGTGCTGGTGCTACCTCTCCAGGAACAGCCGTATCAGGCTCCTGTCAGCAAGCGCTTCTTGGCATCAGCAGTAGTGTGAGGGTTTGATGTCTGCAGATGGGATCCTTGGTCGGGTGGTCTCTGGATGGCCCTTCCTTCAGTCTTTGTTCCATTTTTTGTCCCTGTCTTTCCTTTGGACAGGAATATTTCTGAGTTTAAAATTTTGGGATGCATGGGTGGCCCCAACCCTCAACTAAGGGCATGCCTATCTATTGAAGGTGGTCTCTACAGTTTTTATCTCCCTTTTGTTGGGTATTTCGGCTAGAGTCAGCTCCTGGAAGCCTCTCACTTCCCTGGAGTCTGAGACTTTCTAGTGGCTACCCCAGTTCCCCATTTCCCTCTGATACATGTTTCCATTCAATTTCCTGATACTCTGTACTTCTCTCCTGTCACTTCCAATACTGTTCTTGTCCCCTTTTATCATACCCCTCCTCTTTCCCTTCTAGATCCCTCCCTCTAGCTCCTATGATTATTCTATTCCCTGTTCTATGTAGGACTGAAGCATCTACATTTTGGTCTTCCTTCTTTTTTTGTTTTTTATTGAATATTTTCTTTTTGTTTGTTTGTTTGTTTTGTTTTGTTTTTTCGAGACAGGGTTTCTCTGTGTAGCTCTGGTTGTCCTGGAACTCACTCTGTAGACGAAGCTGGCCTGGAACTCAGAAATCCGCCTGCCTCTGCCTCCCAAGTGCTGGGATTAAAGGTGTGCACCACCAATGCCTGGCTGGATATTTTCTTTATCTACATATCAAATGTTATCCCCTTTCCTGGTTTCCTCCCCAGAAACTCTCTATCCCACACCACCTCCCCCTGCTTCTATGAGGGTGTTCCCCCACCCACTCACAGACACCTGCCTCCCTGCCCTCCCATTCCCCTACACTGATGCATCAAGCCTTCACAGGACCAAGGGCCTCTTCTCCCATTGATGCCCGACAAGACCATTCTTTGCTACATATGCGGCTGAAGCCATGTGTCCAGCCCTACATTTCCCTGATGACTAAAGATGTTTAACATTTCTTTAGGTGTTTCTTGGCCATTTGTGATTTTTTTCAATTGAGAATTCTTTGTTTAGTTCTGTACCCCATTTTAATAGGGTTATCTGGTTCTCTGGGGTCTAACTTCTAGAGTTCTTTGTATATTTTGGATATTAGCCCTCTAGTGGACGTAGGGTTGTTAAAGATCTTTTCCCAATCTGTGAGTTGCCATTTTGTCCTATTGATAGTGGCCTTTGCCTTACAGAAGCTTTGCAATTTTATGAGCTCCCATTTGTCAATTGTTGATAATAAAGCATGAGCAGTTGGTGTTCTGTTCAGAAAATTTTCCCCTGTGTCAATGTGCTTGAAGTTCTTTCCCACTTTCTCTTCTATTACATTCAGTGCATCTGGTTTTATGTGGAGGTCCTTAAGCCACTTGGAATTGAGGTTTGTTCAAAGAGATAAGAATGGATCAATTTGCATTCTTCTACATGGACACCACCACTTGAACCAACACCATTTGTTGAAAATGCTGTCTTTTTTCCACTGGGTGGTTTTGACTTCTTTGTCAAATATCAAGTGACCATAGGTGTGTGGGTTCATTTGTGGGTCTTCAATTCTGTTCCATTGATCTACTTGCCTTTCTTTGTACCAATACCATGCATTTTTATCACTATTTCTCTGTAGTACAGCTTGAGGTCAGGGATGGTGATTCCCCCAGAAATTCTTTATTGTTCAGAATTGTTTTTGCTATCCTGGTTTTTCTGTTATTTCAGATGAATTTGAGAATTGCTCTTTTTAGCTCTGTAAAGAATTGAGTTGGAATTTTGATGGGGATTGCATTGAATCTGTAGATTGCTTTTGGTGAGATGGCCATTTTGACTATGTTAATCTTGCCAATCCATGACCATGGGAGATCTCTCCATCTTCTGAGGTTTTCTTTGATTTCTTTTCTTTTCTCTTCTTCCTTTCTTCCTTTCTTCCTTCCTTTCTTCCTTCCTTTCTTTCTTTCTTTCTTTCTTTCTTCCTTTCTTTTTGTTTCCTTCTTTCTTCATAGACTTGAAGTTCTTGTCATATAGATCTTTCACTTGCTTGGTTAGAGTCACATCAAGATATTTTATATTATTGGAGACTATTGTGAAGGGTGTCATTTCCCTAATTTCTTTCTCAGCCAGTTTATCCTTTAAGTAGTTGAAGGTTACAGATTTGTCTGAGTTAAAGACTGAAAGAACAGTAGAGTATAAATTTAGCAACACGATTAATAAACTCACTGTACTTACAACTGAAGTAAATATATACTTTTTAAGCACAGAGGGAACATTGGGTTAAGTTTACCATGAGCTGAACTGTAAAGCAAATCACAATGTTGTTCTAATTTGCTTTTCTGATGTTGTAATAAATGCATCAAATGAAAGCAACTTTGTAGAAGAAAGAGTTTATTTGGCTTTTACTTCCAGGACATAATTTATCACCAAGGGAAAGCAGGGCAGAAATCTAAGCAGGAACTCTAAGCAAAACTTACGGAGAAATGGTAGCCAGCTCATATTCAGTGAGCTTTCTTCTACAACCCAGGATTACATGCTTAGACATGGTGCCATCCACAGTGGCTGACCCAACCACCAGCCCCACACACCTATCATCAGTCAAGATATTCCCAAAGGCCAATCTGATAAAGGCAGTTCCTCTTGCCAGATGAGTCTAAATTTTGTCAAATTGGTAACAATTACCCAGCACATCCAAGAAGTGAAATCAGTTATATATAAATAACTACTAAATATGTGCTCTAATCAAGTGAACTCAGACTAAATATCAATAATAAAATAACTATAAAAATTTGAAAATTAGAAATGCTTCTAGGATCATCTCAGCTTTAAAATAGTTCTCAAGAGGAATTATACAATATTTTAATTAAAAGATCAACTATGCATATCAAAATATATTAATGGAAATAAAGCCATATTTAGCAAAAAATTCATACTTCAAAAGACTATTTTATAAAAACATATTTGTAGATCAATTATCTATATATCTATCTCATGAATATGGAATAACAAATGGGAAGTAAAACACAAAGTATGTAGAACA